GCAGAGAGGAACGGCAGCTGTGTTTATCTTACTGAGGGTGCAGGGAAAGCCTGTCTGGTCTCGGCTGAATTTGTTACTATACCATCTTTTGATCCAGTCAGTTTTTAACATCTTTCATGTTTGCGGACATACTGAAATTTATTTTCAAGAAAAAATTTATATGCATATGCAGTTACGTTATGTTCTCTATATCAACCCCAAACATTGCAGTACAATTCACATGATATTATTCATATCAATAATAAAAATAAAAAGAATAATATACACCTTAAAAAACTGGCTCTGAAACTATTTTCATTTAGAAATTGCAAGTGAATTTAATAAATTATTAAATCGAACATTGAATTGAACATGAAATTTTGAAGTAGAAAAACTGAAATAGTATTTTATTTGTAAGACGTACTCCAATAATCTAAATATTCAGAGACCAGTTCGTAAGACGAAAGATGGAAATAAACATGCGTAAGTTCATAAGATGTAAAACATGTAAACGTGTGCATCAATGTGCTGTGCATTTGCACACTTTGAGAAAATGTGATTGAGAAAATATTCGGATTTAATCGTTTACATGTTGATTTTTTCCCCCTGTTAATCTGATTATTTCAGGTTTACACCACCCTTTTCAATTTGATCGGCATTTGTTTCTGATGGTTGGTTGAGTTCAGAATGAATCATGAATAGGTCTGCTGTACTGATTGAAGGAAGTACTTGTGTGGAATAAAACATGTCTAATCTATATAATCTATATATAGTATCTGAAACTCACCAGGGAGATGCTTGTGTTATTCTGCCGTTCACCTCGAGTTTAAAGACTCAGTACTGACCGAAGTGGAGCAGAAATCACCTTGTGTTGAACAGATTTGTGCGTTTGACCTCATAACCTAATAACTAAGGCGGTGCAGTGAGAGGTGTCTTCCCTTCCAACCGCAGCCCGTATGCTGTGAGAGCAACGACATAAACACAGCCTAGTGCTGAGGAAAGTTACTTTTAAAAGAAATGCATTACAATATTGTTACTCCTTAAAAAGGTAACTAGTTATGTGCGAGTTGAATTTTGTTACTTTTGCGTAAAGCTGGGCTGGGCTTGATTGTTTGTTTTTAATGTAAAATGTTCTATTTCTGGCAAATGTAAAAACCCTTACAATGAAATGAATAAGCCTCAGTTGATAAATATCCAATATTAAAGGATACATTTTAAAAATCGACTGAATTAATATGGTACTGATTTATCGTGCACTCCTAAAAGATACATATTCATATTCCTGAGCTACTTTGTAATTTATAACTTTTATCATCATTTTGAAAAAATATTCATATTTCTGTTTACATTTGAGTGCCAATTTAATTTATCATCTTTTTATTGTAATTTTGAAAAATATTCATAAATATGGATATTCCTGTTTATGTTATGAGTTCCAATGTTATTACTAATTTTTACAATAATTTTGAAAGCATATTCATACGTATTCTTATTTCTGTTTATATTATGTATGTATGAATATTTTTCAAAATTATGATATAAAATATAATTTCCATTAGAATTCACAATGTAAGCAGAAATATGAATATTTATGAATATTATAATAATTATGATGTAATTTATAATAGTTTTATCATAATAATTATAATATTCATATATATTCCTATTCCTCCTACATTGTGAATTCTGATTTAATTTATATTTTATATCATAATTTTGAAAAATGTTTATACATATTCATATTTCTGTTATAAGGTAATTTAAGGTTATTTATATATTTTTTCCCATTGTTGGGGAAAGTTACTTTTAAAAGTAATGTGTTACTCCCTAAAAAATACACTTCCTCGTCTTCATTATCAAGCCTTGCATTATTTTCTCTAGCTGTACTGAATGCTGTGCATTTGGTATCTCGCGCAATGGCTGCCGTTTGGATTTCCCTGAGTTTAATCAGGTTTGGTTGTTTAAGTGATCAGGTTAAAGCCGGAACTCGGAGACTCTAGAGCATCATGGTGATTAGAAACGAGAGAAGGGAACATAAATACACGTCTGAGCTCTCTTTCCCTGCTCTGTTTGTGCTTGATAAGAGAATACGGCTCTCTGGAGATGTCATTTGCAGCTCTTTTATAGTGACGGTTGCCACACTGGAGTCTCTGTCGTGACTGAGGAATATTGGACGACTGTTGTTTGTCGAAGCCTTATCATGCAAGGTGTTATAAAATATATTTGTATTGTGGTGTATAACTGATTCTTGAGACCTGGGAAAAAACAATTACTTAAAATGATAAGAAAGTCATTAGAGCTTGATATGAAAAGTGCTTTGATATTACCTGATTTTTCAATGTTTTCCTAAATATCTGACATAAAATTAACCTGTTGTTTTATTTCAGGACACAGGAATATTTATTTTAAATAACAATTAACAACAAACCATAACTAAATTAAATCTTCTTAAATACCAGTCAATTTAGACATCACAATTGCATTATAATTAGAGCCCGACCGATATATCGTTTTGCCGATTTTATCAGCCGATATGAGCCTGTCGCAAATATATCGCTATCGGTGAATATGCCACCGATATGTCACCGATATAAATTTTTTTTACAGAACATAAAACACAGATATAATGCTTGTAAATGGTGTAATTACATAGTTTGTCCAGCAGAGTCCACGCTCCATTGTTTGCTACTGGCGACCTGGATGAAACGCTTTATAGCTTAAAGGCACAATATGTAATTTTCGCCGCTAGAGGGCGCGTATTCAAAACAAAGAGACAAAGGCGTAGTTTGATGACGCCGTGACTGAGTGTGGAATCATGGGAGTTGTTGTCTTCATCCTAGTTAGCTTTCA